ATAAATTTATTAAATTAAATTGAAATTAGGATCTACTAAAAAAATAAGAATTAAGGGTGCATTTGGTTCACGGAATGTAAGATTACCATGAGAATAAAAGATTACCAGGGAATAAGATTACTGGAAATGTTGTATTTTGTGTTTGGTTGGTTTAGCAGGAATGTAAGATTACCGTGTTTGGTTAAAATAATAAAAGATTATTGAAATATATATTTGACCAAATTGTCCTTATTATATATTTGATTTTTTAACAAGTTGAATTCTACTATAATATTACTATAAGATATTCTTTAAAAAATTTAAATTCATAAAATTCATATAATTTTTTTTACAGAATTGAAAATATAAAAAGGTTTAATAAAAGGGTAAAATTTTATTTTAACACCTGAACTTCATTTAAAATTTTAATTATAGTTTTTTTTGTAAATCTAAAATAGTTTAAGGATAAATTTGTAATTTAACATTCGTAGAATTTTTATTATTCAATGACATAAGAATGATATTTTTGGAGAAAAAAATTAAGGTCATTTTAGTCCAAAACGCTGGTAATCTAACAATACCTAAGGGAATGGAGGTAATGACATTCCCGGTAATATACCCAAAAAAATCCATTGTTGGTAATCTTATATTACCGGGAATGAGATTACCGGCCAACCAAACGTGGGAATCCGAACCAAACAACCCTTAAAGTTAATATTGCTGATCAAATTGATTAATTCTAAAATCTAAAGGATTTAATCTATAAATTTAATACATGACTAGAATAAAAGATTTTAAAGTTAATGCTCAAATTAATTCATTAGATAAATTAAAAAGGAAACAAATCATACACAAGTAATGACCAAAATGGAAGAAAACAAAGCAAGGTTCCATTGCCGCGAATACGTAACTTTACAAGGACATGTGCCCTAATTATAACAATTTTGTTAACGGCCACGTACACACTTCCGTTAAGTGTTAACAACATGTGGATATATTGAAACCATTTAAATAGTTCAATGGTCATATTGGCACAAATTTGAAAATGGTGGTCATTTTTCAACCCATTCCATAGTTATGTGGTCATTTATGTAGTTTACCCTTATTTTTTTAATTACAATTTTAACACGAATCAAATGATCTAAATATTTAAAAAAAATTATTGTTAAAGATTTTAGATTGAGTATGATGTCTGTAAAAATATTTGAATGTTCATTATCAAATGGTTGAGAATCTATCAAATATATAATATCTTATAATCACTACTACACTAATAAAAAATACAAATAACTACAATTTCAATTAAAAATCAATGCATATATATTTTTTTATTAATTTGGGATAAGTACAAGATAATATTTGTTCATATATAACTCTCTATCATTTGACATTGAACGCTTACACCCATGGTATTCCAGGTGCTCGAATCCGGGACCTCAAAGAATAACAATAATTCCTTTATCATTGAGGTCACTTGGTTCGTGCAAATATACAAACCAATGACCTTAGTGGTTAAGAGATTTGTTTTTATGCCTTGTAGTTTTATGTTTAAGCATCGCATATGCAAGAGTATGAGTGTTCATTATGAAATGATTGAGAGTCTCTAGACATATACTGCCTTGGATTCGGTATTCACCATTTATAAAAAGGGTAAAGTATACAAGTTTGGAACATAATTAATAGTTGGGTGACCATTTTGTAACTTTTAATAGTCAAAGGACTCAATAAATTATATCCTATAGTTAGGGGACCATTTGTATACTTTACCCTTATAAAAATTATAACATTTAATTTATTTAATTATTATTCAAATCAAATGCTAAAGAAAATACATAAAAATATCCTGGCCTGTAGCCGCAAAAGTCTGAAGGAATCATCCGATTTCAATTTTCTCTTACATCAAAATTTGAATAACCAATCTTTTTACTTACTCATATTGTGGATTATTTTGACTTGTTATTTGTTAGTCATAAATCCATTGTTGTCTTGTCCTTAAAACAGCTCTGAGATCGTATTTAAGATGCATTATAAATCGAAAAAAAAAACCAGAAAAAGTTTGGTTTCTTTTTCTCCCACTGATTGACCCTTGAAGGCACTTGGAGTTGTTGGGATTGGATGAAGTCTGAATTGGAATATATAATATATTTACATATTTATAGAATTTAAAAATGTTTATAAAATTTTGTTTAACAAATGATCATGGTTGAAACATCAATCTATAGTTTGAATTATGAACTCTAGTGATATTTTTAATTGTTAATAGTTGTTAACTTTTATTAAATAAAGTTAAAATGTTTAAAATATTTAATTTATAAAAAATAAATTAATAGCGTGAATCAAATATTTTTATTAAAATTATCGAGCTGTACAAACTAATTACTTAAGAACAAAAATATTTTTTATATTGTTTTACATTATTTAATTTTTTTTAAGTTTAAAAATAATCCTAAATGCCGCTTATCTCTTTCTTAATCTTTAGTTGATAGGTGATAGTATCCGCCAAATATCTCGAACAACAATAGATATAAACATCATTATAGGCCATAAAGAAAAATATCATCAACACTAACATAGAAATACATATAATAATGATAGACAAATTATCATTGACTTGGTGTAAGAGAGATTTAAATCGAATGATTCCTTCAAACTTTAGCTTTTGCGCTCACAATAACAATAGATAATAGGAGCTTACAATTGATAAGATAACGATCATGACTGATTTTTTTTAGAGATATAAAAGCATAAAGAAGAAGATGAGAGTGAACAAAAAAAGACAATGAAGAAAATGATCTCTCAATTGTGGTTGAGAAGCATTTATATTGACTCTAATTGATCATGTCAACCATAAAGTAATTATGATTATTTATAGGTCAGCAGACTAAAGATCTGATGATCAAATCTTAAATTTCGTTATGATAAATCACGTGGGCATACTAGAGGTATTGGCTATGCATTGTAGCTAATTCGAAGACTATGATATTCCTGTGTTCGGAAGATATGGATTCTTAGGAAGCTTCGGTAAGTGAAAGAGTCTACCTAGATATCTTAATTGACAGAGAGCTAATAATTTCTAGAGATGATCTCTAGAAGTACAAGATTCATCAAAATTTTATTATTATGATTTCATTAAGAGAAAAAGAACCAATATTATTAAATTAAATATTTATATATAATTTTAGTGTATATGATTATTTTTATACTAATTAATATTAATTTTAAAAATAAATTAATCTAATTTAATAATTTTCATTTATACCATCAAATATTACATACAAAATCAAGATCTAATTATATTTCATTTATTAAATGTGTTTAAAAAATTTAAATTTTTAATAATGAGATGAAATAATTATAATATGATACTGAAACACATATTAAGTATCATTTGTGAAAATTTAAAAAAATATTTTTTTTTATTTTTTTTCAAAAAATAAGTTTTTCCCCGTTAATCTTAAATTTAATCCTAATCATTCTTATAAAAGAAGGGAAGGAGACTGAAACAAGTGCGTGCTCCTAATATATTTAAAATCTATAATTCTAAGAAAATATGAGATTACTTTATTCATCAAACTTTTAGGAGGAAAAGTGGATATTTATAAATTATAGTAAAAGTAGAATTTGTAAAGCGGCGTTTGAATGTTTCATTTTGTTGTATTTAAATTCAAATTCTTTTATTAATAAAATAAATAAATTATTGTAGAAAGTGAAATTAATATAAATAATAGTGTGGCCACATCTAGGAGTGTTAAAAATATCTTACTTGATTGACTCGGTCCATCGACTCTCCAACCTGACCCTAAAAAATTTGATAATTCTCTGAAAAAGATTATCTGATCGGGTTGGGTACTCGACCCATGATTTCCCCCTGTAGTTGGGTAGCGTCTGGGACAAATTTTTTTATAATTGGATAATATATATATATATATAGTTTAAATTATATTTTTATTTTAGGTTTCTTAATATTTTTTTCTTAAAATTAAATTTAAATCCCTATTTTTTTCTTAGATTTGTATTATGTACTTTTAAGTTTTAAATTTCAAAAAAGTTTTTATTAATTTGTCAATATGAGATTCGAAAAAAATCACGATCGCTATTAATAACTTTAAAATTTTCTTTTGGAAATTAACTTTATATATATATATATATATATCTTAAAACTAACGTCAAATCACTAATTTTTGTATATGGGTTGTGTATAATAAATTTTTAAATTCTTATATATTTAAAAAAATAGATGAACTTGATATCTGTGACCCAAAAACGTAGGTACCCGACTATCGGGTACTTAGACTTAACAGACTGAATCAAGGATTGATAGATATACTACCGAAGAACTAAATATCCTATATTTGGAGTACCTGATTTTGAACATCCCCAAGTCCCTAACCACACCCAAGTTCTTCGAAGTTGGAAGCCGAAAACAAAGAGCTTTTACCATCGTTTTCACGGGACGCGGGCGTCATTCCCGTAGAATTTCCACTCTGAAATCCTGGTACACACGCTTCAAGTCTTTATTCCTTTTGGATCCAAATTTCTTCCATTCCATGTATTGTTCCCGGACACGATATAAACACGTTTTCTGCTTGTCTTCTACCTTCGTCACTTTTCTTTACCCTGGCTCCATTTCCCTTGATTATTTCTCTAATAAATTTATTGAATAAGCATGGAATTAGTTCATTCAATAAAAGTTATATTATTTATTCTAATTCTTGTATAATATTGACATATTTATGAAATCAAGCCAACTTAATTATGTCAATTTCTTTTAACTTTGGGCAATAAATGGAATTTATAAAGGATTTGACGTATTTGTCCTTTTCACACCTTTATTTTGGCACCTTTGTGTGTGTGGTGGTTTTGAGGAAGTTGGGATATACGAGTATGACCATCCCCTTCCTTGCTGCTTAGTTCACACGTAGATGACGAGCATTGACTCGAGCTTTGCTGATTTTACGGTGTTAATGATTCCTCCTTGACATATTTTGTGCTTCAAAACAAAGCGTTGCGGGTGTGAAATTGAAATACTGATGTAAAGAGATAGTGATGTGGGGATTTGGACTTGTGAATGCCGTTGTGGTGCATCGGTTACGTCCTTTGATAATTCCAGGTTCTCTTCAATCTCCTGATTCTCAACTCTTCGGCGATGATATTGTTAAGCCTTTGGTAGATAGAGAGTTTGAACCTTTAACTAGTTGATTGCTTATGGTTGTTGGGATGAAACTTGTGATCACTTTAACTTTGTTTGCAGGTTTGAAAGTGATACCTGGAATCTCCCAAATATCTTGTGCCCATGTCACGGTATCCCTTTTGCTTCTAGACTTCCAACTTTTTCATATGGGCTAAGGGATGCTTCTAGAATTAATCTTGTAATAGTGCAGAGCCTTCATCTCCAATAGCAAAACCATTGTGCAGTTGGAAGGATTAATACGAGTGGAGGTGCATACCATTACAATCTCCTGTTTCTTTGCTTCTTCACTGGGTATGGGATGCTAGCATGCTATTGAATCAGTTCTTTGTTACTAATTTATCATTCTAATCATCAAACTGGTTTTGATGGCACGTCTTTTACCTGTGATTTCTTTATTCTTCTATGGTGGAAACAGAGGATCATATTTTAGTGATTTTGTTAGTTTATAACTGATAATCTTTCAATTCTATAAGGTGCTTTACTTTTCATCTGTTTAGAAATATATGATCAAATGCAACCTGCCTAGTCCCGATTTAATTTTGCATTTGTAAGGACTGCATTAGAAACTGGTCTTTGATCTTTTGTTGTTCTACTAAATTAGCCAACTTTCTATGATTGATGGTTTGATTCAAACTTGTGCTGGGCGTTGCTAATGCTTCCTGTTTCCATTTAATTCATAGAGATGGTGATAAGATCGATCTACAGCTTGCCCGTTGCATCGAGCAAGATTGCAATTGTAAATGCGGAAACGAACACCAGCTGCGGCGTAGGTTCTCGTACATCTTCTGCGGTGACACAGCACTACATAGAGGATACTATCATGAGCGTTTCATAGATATATCTAAGGTCTGTGTTTCCTTGTCTTTTCCCATTCTCGTCTGTTCATGTAAAGCTTTTCTTTTATGAAATTGTCTAGTGTACTTGGTTTCCTAAGAATATCTCATGTGTCATGTTTGTAATTTTTTATAAAATATTTCTTTTATAAATTATATATACAATAAATCTCAATTTTTTTCTAAAATTATAAAAACAACCTCAAATCTTAAAATCTTTAATTTCAAATCCCTATTATCAGCCTTTGTCGGTCATCACAATTGCTGTCGTCACGATTAATCACCCATCGGCGTTGCCATTGGTGTCGTCTTTGTTTGCCAAACCTCAAAGGTTTTCTTCCTAAATTTGTGCAACAGGAGATAGTCTTCTTCGATGCTACTTCGACCGAAGAACTCCTCAACAAACTGTCTGAGGATACGAAGATCATTAAAACTGCAGCAACAACAACAACTAATCTTCCGGAGGCATTTGGGAATCTAACGAGTGTCATTATTGGCATTGGTTCCATGTTTTCATCAGCATGTAAACTAACACGTATGTTGTCATGTTTCTTTGCTTGCATTTTAGTTAATGTTGAGAGTTTAGCAGCTACAAGCCCAAAATGTATTTGTTCAGTTACCCTTGGCGGTAGTTCCAGTTGTTGCAGTGGCCATCTCATGCGTAGATTTGGACGATATTTCAAACAACTTTCGCACACCACTCAAGCCGTTGCACTGGCACCGTTGCCGAGGTTTTTATGAACCACAACCTGCATTGAAAATCGAAAGCATTGAATTCTGTCCTCCGTGACAAAAGTCTTGAAAATCCCAAGAAGAAGACTACAACAATGGCGGATCTAGAAATTTAAGAATAATGATTAAAATCTTAATATTTTTTTCTTACAAATAATGTGTATGCAAATTTTTTATTTTTTTTCTCTTAACATATTAAATTAAATTTTATCATTTTTCTAAAATAATGAGATACACTTGAACCCTTACCAGATTTAGTGCATCCGCCCCTGCTATGCAGTACCTATATACTCTGACAAAGTTGATGACGGACTAAATATTGTACACAAGAAGCTGTGAGTTTCCCTTCATCTCTCAATCACTCACACCTTCAGTTCATCGATCGAACGAGAATTAAGCAGCAGTCGGAACACGATTTATTTTCCTTCAACAGAAAGTAGTTGGTTTATACTATGGAGGACAGAACGCAGCATTCAAACAGTCTATTTCCATAGTGGTGATTTATTTTCCTACTTGACATATGTCAGATAATAGTTTTCTAACTGCTGTTACGACATAAACTTAAAAGAATAACTTCGAAAACGTTAGACATATCGATATAGTTTATTTCATGTGTAAGCAAATAATTGGTAAGCTCTATCAGGAGTAAGCTTTTCCAAATTAATCCTTTGCTTCCTCAATGACATTTACTTTAGGTTCTCAAGGTTTTTGTAAGCTACTCATCTTCGTCATCGCTTCTTTATTAGGATACTTTTTCTTTTACCGACTGAATTCATTTATGATGTTGGTGATCGATCAAACATCTTCTATTCTTTCAATGATTAAATTGAAAGTTTTGAACTTTAATGATTAAATAATTGTAAGAAGATAGTTGAGTGAGGTGTAATTTGCCCATATTTCAAAATTAATAACGGAGAGCATAGTTTACCCAGAATTAAAACAAAGAAAGGGCGTACCTTGTCGGGAGTGAAACATTTATTTAGAAATAATGAATCCATTGAAACTTTCACAATCACCCCAACCCCTTGTTCATGTATCCATCTCAGAGATATCTGTTTTTTTATTATTAAAATGATCTCAAACTCAAAAAACAAACCTAAAAAAGGTGGAAAAAGTACCTGAGCAACAGTTTTCCCTTTTGTCTTTGCGATTTCTTTAAGTACCTCACACTCCATCACTCTATTGCTGCCATAGAAGGTCCCAATGGGGAATAAGCTGTCAAATAAATCCCTTTGCCGTTACAAAATTCCCTTAGCTTCTTTTGTTGCCATAAAGGGTTTATTTCCACCTTCCAAACAAAAAACATTAAAACAACTCCACTATACATCAATGTTATTCCAAATTCAATCCAAATCTGTGTGTGAATTCAATGAACGATGCAAGGAACACGTTGGTGCAAGAGGTGTCGAAAATGGGTGGCCGGATCGACGTGAATCGACAAAAAACCAACAAAGATTGAGTTAAAACCGACGATACTTCCGGTTGAAATTTACGACAAACGACATCGATTCACGACGAGAGGTTTGGGGGGTTTTGTTCATTGGTCGACAACGAACACGGGGTTTCAGTTCGTCAAACGAGATGGACGGTGGAAATCAAGGGTCACGGGAGGAAATAAGAAAACATTCTGGAATATGATCGGGGAAAGGGGTTTATATTTTCAACATATAAGCAAAATGGATAAATTCAGGACTAGGTCACTGAATTCCATGCACTTCCTAAAATGGTCTACCAACTTTGAAATTTTATAATTTAATCCTCAATTCTTCTAAAATACCAATTAAATCAATAGTTTATAATTTCTTAAAATTTAGCTTCTAAATTAGGGGTTACAATTCTCCACTCCTTGAAATAGTTTCATCTTCGAAATTCGTTCATGTCACAGAATGCATAAATGAAACTTTTCATCAGCTTTTTCATATCTTTCAGTAGCTTTTACAGAAGTACCAATACTCTATTAATCTTTAACCAGCTGAGTACATTTTTCTCAAAATTCTTTCATTCCAATAAAATAATAAGAACAGATTATCCTTGTGGAATCATTCAGCCTTGGTTACGAGAATATACTCATAGAGCGGTAAATATCCCAATTCATTTCTGGAGTCGGTCAGAATTTCCGATGAGTAACTCACATGGTTCGTGAGGTACTTTACAGAATTAAATAGACGTTACTGTTCCTTTATAAAACGATAGAGTCCTAACGAATGAAAACTTAGGTTTGCTCATTCAAATAGGGATTCAACCTTAGAATTCAGCTCAGAGAGGTACGATTGTAGTCTAAGGGCATGTACTGATAGAAGTTGATAGCTGTACTGGTATAATTCTTTTAACCGTAATGGTGAGTAATAGAGTGAGCTTCGGAAAGCTCAGTAATACAGAACTACCAGATGATGCTGAAGAACGTGTAGATACAAACAAACATATATTTCCTTATTGGTTTAGATATTACAGATTTTTAGGTTGAGCTGAGGTCCCATTGATATCTCATGTAGTAACAGATAATATTTAGTTCAGATGGAAATATTTCGAATGTCTAGGTTCAGGAGATCAGAATAGGTTATCTAGTATGTTCCCATAAAACCAATAAAAATATACAGATCTTTTAAAACATATTTTTTAAATTCAAAAATCCTAATAATCCCTCCAACCGTTACATATCATAATGTGTAGGATCCCCAGAACCATACACCAAACCGCACAGCTGGTATGGCCCTGAGCACAAAGCGAGAAGCCTGCAGATATACTTCCTCCAACAATAATCCCCCCAAATAAAACATTTTTTCATCAGTTAACGGAGATATTAGAAATCAAATAGAATTCAGATAAAATTCAGAATAGAATCCAGATCAGAAATCAAAACAGAATCAGGTCAGGTATCAAAACAGAATTCAAATAAGAAATCAGATAAAATATTCATGTGATTAGGGAACATACTAGTGTTTACAGATATTATTCAGAGATATTGGATAATCTTATCATGCAGAGAAACACAAATCTTCAGTTTACCGATAGAATGTCGGAAGTTAGAATCACTATTGGAAGAGTTCATTAACTGACATAATCATAAGTTATTTAGAATATGATTTATCAGGATCATCTTATTCGGACATTTTTCGGAAGCTCTACGAAATCAGAAGAGTACTTAGAACCCTTTACATCTGAGTTACTTGTTTTCATACATGACCAGAGTGATTTGAGCTGATAAGGAAGAACGAAGATTCAAGACCTTACAATCTATGTCAATTGATCGGATTATCGAACAACTCTTAGATGAATAGTTCCCATAACTAATGCTTGTCGATTGATCAATTCATTGTTCTTCCAGTGTATTTACTCTTTAATACCACAAATTCTTGTCCATAGATCATCTTCGAAATCATCGCTGAATAGATCTTCCAATGTCTTTATTTCATTTCCACGCTTTCACAATATAATGAATGCTGACATGCGATTTGTAGTTCATGACCCAAAAGGGCAATACATCATATAAGTTCATTAGCATTCCCAAACTCATCCAAATCACTTATTTAATCCTCAGTCACGAGCTTACTTAGTTTCACTTAGTAGTCAAGTCTATCCGGTTACTTCAAAGTTTCCAGAGTAATTCAGACGTTTCTGAATTTTGATACATATTATACTTCCGTTCAGTTCAATTTGGTATTTGTAGTTGATTGTATAACGAATATCCACTCTTAGTACTGAATATGATCTAGAGTTGAGTTGAGCTGAGTACTTCCAGAATTATCATCGGATCCAAACTGAGGAGACGACCAAGATTCGAGTGGTAAATATGCTATTAAAGTACTGACATAGCATTAGCATTGGTCAACTTACTTAAGTTCAGTTCCATAACTTTTAAGGGTAGTACAACACCTATGTTTGTTTGGATTCCTTAATTAATCCAAGACATTTACTTAGAATAGGCCATAAGGGCATTTTGGTTATTTTGGTGCTCAATGTTTTTCCATTCATTTCAAAGCTTGAGGATATCTATTCATTCCTGGGCTTGGTGATATTCTTGAGTCATTTTCATTACAGGGATATTTTGGTTATTTTACAGATCTAGAGTAATTCAATCATATCCTTCCGTCTAGTCTTATTATTTAATCAAACTTATCATTATGCCAGTCCCTTCAAACTATTCTGACAAAATCTCACCCTCGATAATTATTATTCATAACTAAGAGATTTTTGAGTCAAGTGCATTCTCAGATGTTACAACAGGTTACTAGGAATTTTCTATACAAAGACAGGATCTTAATAATGAAATCTGTAATTTATTGAGTTAAGTACGAATCCTCAA